ATACGTTGTACCAGGTTGCCACCCACACTGTCGACATTATGATCCATCGAAATTGGTGGGATGGGAGTTTGTATATCTGTAAGCACCCTTACTTCGCCAGGGTAGGCTAAATAATAGGAGAGTGAGTTTCGACTTGAACATTCTCAGAAATTTTTTACTTATCCTGAACCGTAGCTGTGCTAAAGCGTTTCTTCAGGATTCTTGTTTTTTGTTGCTGTTTTTGGCTCTAATTAGACCTGACAAGTCTTATCATCAATGTTGTTTCGTGATCGGATAGATATAGCCACGGTCGTATAGGACCGGTCATTGCACTGGAATGCAGAGGGCGAAAAATTTGATTATTTTCAACTCGGGTTCCTGCATATCATGTTGTATTCTGTTGGAGACGTAACTCCCATTTCACCCTCTAACCAATTCTCTCTTCACCTGGCTATTTTTTTAGCGAAAAACAAAAGTTTGGTTTTTCAGCTTTTCTTTACCGTAATTTTTACATGGAATAAGTTGTGGAAAAAATCGATAGAAGGGAACCAACAAATCCGAACAAGTCTGTGCCTACAATGGAACTGGGCACGAAAGGAGTAGAGGGGATTGCTGACTCGCTCCTAGCATTCTGTGATTGTTTTGAAATTATCAATTTCGATAGAATACCTAACTAGATCATTACCCTTTCACAGACGTGGAAATACTCAGTACAGTTACGGAGAACCCGACAGTCCGAAAGTACGAGGTCTGCTACCCTGAGACAGCGAGCATGTGTTTGCATGTGTTACGGGTGGCGTGCGGAGGTCTCTGGACCGGTTATTCCCGTCCCATGCAGTCGATTCTACAAATGTGCTCTTACCAACTCCATCTATTCACCTCGATCACCTCATCGACCTCACTAATTTAACCAACACTCAAGTCGCAACCATTCACATCCTTGAATCCACCCACGAAGGTTATTCGGCCACCTCAAAGAGTTTCATAGGCCGTCTGGGTGTCTCGTCACCTTTCTTTATTTTCATCATGACGTTGTCTTGATCCGATCACGACATGTTACTGCGAGAACCACGTAAACATATTTATGTTTGCCTGATACATTCATTAAGAACGCTGTCAACAACACTTTTTGTGAATGAAATCAAACGGGGCGAGGATAGGAGTAAACTGATGAATTTGGAATGGGTGGGTAATGGGCGATGCAAATTTGCTCAGTATTCTACTTTTCTAGCATGTTTTATTTATTTATTTTTCTTTTTTTTATTTTCTTTATTCATGGAACAGCGAACATTTTATTCGGCGCATATTAATCTAGTGCAGTCAGTAGGTCCACGAGTTTCAATAAGTCTCTAAACTTCGTAATAAACTGGTGTTTTTTACTAGGCCACCTTTCACAGTGAAACAATTTTTTGAGGATTTTTCCAAGTTCTTCGCTTTATTGATATTTGGTTGAAAGTTGAGGAAATCGTAACACATCGAATCAAATGATTTCCATAACACTCAAGTGCTCGTTGAGGGCCAACATTGCGAGTACTGTATTTGTTCGAGTATTTTTGTTCGCTATTTAGATATTTATTTATTCATATTAGTTGTTTACCTGTTTATTCATGTATTTATTTATTGGATTGTTAAATTACATATTTTCTTAATTAGGTATCCAATTGTGCTTCGTAATATTACCTTCAAAAGGCACGCGACGGCAGTTACGAGTGCGAAACCGGAGGAAAAAACGGAATCGGGCTCAGAAGTAAATCTATTTTATATGCGGGAAAATGATAAACAATACCCTTGATCATTCTAGACTGATATTGATTGATTCGTGGGTTATTCTTGACAGCCATGTTGATTTGTTAAAGTCTGAAGGAATGTGATCTCTGGAATGGAGATATTAGCGCTAATCGCAGAGCCGGAAAACCTCCTAATCACATCTGCAGTGTTAACATTTCCCGAAAGCATGCATACAATCTTTGCTAATTTGTTTGTTATGATTCATCCGTAAGTTTCATCTATTACTAATTGATTGCTTTTACTTGTTTACTAATCTGTCATTACTATTTGGTGCCTAGCGATGGAATGGAGGAATAAGGAATGGGGAGCTGTCCACTGTTTTATTCCGTTTACCTTCGAAAGAGGCTTGTGGACATCGGCTACCCCTCCCACGCCATTATATGGAATTTCAAACGCTATTCAAACAGCCATGCCAGGGTAGAATGCGTGGCGCATCCCGGAAAGGGATCGCCCAATGCTTCCGTGGTCTATATTAAAGAGAGTAAAAAGTACATCCAAAAATTCGTCAACAAGTTAGAAGCCAATAACAGTTGGGTGATGCTCAATGTCGCTCGCTATGCCGCGTAAGCAACGAATCAATCGATAACCTATACTACATGAAAGGAACGTGTGCGCGATGAAAAACAGGCGAAAAATACAATCCCCTTATAGATTCTGCTTTCTGTCTGTGTCATTTTGATAAGAATTTTTTTTCGTTGGGCTAGGCTTTTTTATTGGCTTTACCAAATGAGGCAGCGACTCGTCCTCAGCTTTTGCCACTTTTAACCATGTTTCAGAATATTTTCCCCATAGTCTTTTTGTACTTCTATTGATCCGGTTAAACCCACGGCAGCAATTCAAGTTCACTTGTAAAAGCAAGCCGTTCGATCGATCACACAGCATGAGATTTTCTTTAAAGGTCAACGATTTTGCACTTCACTGTTCAGGTTTTCTTGTTAAGTGCTGAAGTGAAGCGGTGAAGTGCTGCACGCACATTTTGGTTCGCTACTGGTTCCTGCAAAACTGTGAACGATTTTTGAGCCCCCATCTTCCCCGGCAAAATTTCTGTACTACATATCCGTGCGAC